TGCGGATAAATATAATCAAATAGAGGATGAACGTCTCATTTTAAAATATAAAAAATCTAAAATATAATTATAATAATTATCGAGTTCCAACAAAATAAATAATTATTATCTTTATAAAAAAATTACATTATTAAACCAAATATAAATTATTTCGTTATTGTACATAAATTAAATTATAAAAAATTGGAATTAAAAAATTACACAAAAAAATGAGTAATTTCAAATAGTTAATTTGATACTAATATCGATATATTTTTGTCAATATTTTATGATATCTTCAAACATATATTTTATTCAAAAATAAAAACATCATCGCTTTCTCAAAATCACATAAAGCCATATTATAATATCTACTGAGATAAAGAATAAAATGAAATATTAAAATCATGATGTATCTCGCTGCATTGCGCGATTACGCTTCTAGTCGGCTAAAAAATAAATTTATAAAATGTTAACAATTATATATGCTTATTAATTGAAAGGTAATCAGATAATAATAGGATGGTTATTGAATTACATTGGTTCGATTTTATCGGATTCTAAATTATCATCAAATAACCGACAATATCCAATTTGGATGCTGAATATTTTGCTCCGATTCGATCCAATTACAGTCGAACATCTGATTATAGTCGATTGTCTTAATTTAATTTAATTATTTTCTACACACCCCTAATTGTCTTCTCTGCCCCCACTTCCTGCCTGCGCAAGGAGTCCCTGCCCCTAGGGATAAATTTTCAATATATAGTCTCAACTCTCGAGTTTAAATCCAGTGTCGATAATACATTGTCTATAGCTCTCTACCCACCAACGACGGTGACATTTACGGTATCCCCATCCAACCCCGATATATATTACAAACACTTATTCATATCAGTAACATACTAACATGTGAGAGTGGGTTTAGACGAAAACATATTCAAATTATTGAAAAAAACGAGAATATCATGAAACACCAGTAAAAATATAACATAGATGTCAAGCTAAATATAATGAAACGTTCGTTTTTTTTAGCATCGTTTGTTTGACTCCACGTTTTTTTTTATTTTCAAGTTAAATGATATGAGGTGGTTTTTTATTTTAAAAGCGTGGTTACGTCACAGCTGTTAAATCATCTCATCTTACGTTTTGAGATATATTCTCACGTGTTTTTGCAAGTTCGTGGTGTTTCACATGTGCACCTCTTGATATTTATACACAACAAACACTCATGCACATCGATGTTACCTACATGCTTTGTACAGTTTTCGCATACTGATTTAGGGGTTTACACACAAGCATTACGTTCAAATAAAGGGAAAAGTTTAACACACAACATCGCATTTGTTTTTTTTTTTTTTTGGGTATAACCTTCGCCAGTCGAGAAAGGGGGAGGGTGCAGGAGATCATGAAAGGGGACGGGGAACAGGGAATGTTGTATATTGGTGTTTGTCGGGGAGGAAAGAGAAGATCGGAAAAGAAGGCGAACAAATTGGGGGGGGGGGCATCCTTTTCAGACAAAAAACTAGCGAATATTGCATACAGACTCATCCTTACAAGCATAATCCACACATCAGTACCCACTATACCGTTCAAGCATCCATAAAATGGAACCGGTTTGAATGAAATACATACTGCATTGGAAACCAATATGAAAAGTCAATAGAGGGTCTCTTCTCAATAAGTGCATCTTGCAATTCCAATTCACTAGTGTTTGACACTATGTGTTGCGCGGTGACAATATTTTTTAAAAAAACTATTGAAGTTAGCTAAATGAGTCAATGATCAAATCTATATATTAAATTAATAAGAATCACCTTTGATATATGAATCAATTTTATCATTATTGGTTGTTCTATATATCTATATTTATACTATCTTATTAAGTATATTTATACTATCTTATTAAGCAAATTTAGCAAAAGTTTTAAGGCTTAAAATACTAAATGACCAAAATACCCTTTATATTCACTTTTTCACCTCTTCCTCTCCTCACATACACTCACCCTCTCACAACCGAATTTTTTTTTAAATTATAATTTTAAATTTACACTTTATACCCCTATGATTATTTAATTAATTTACTTTACGTCTTTTACTTTTAAACGTTTCATTTTAAATCTTTATCAAATTAACATACATAATCGTATATCAATTAAAACATATTTAAAAAATACATTTTTATTTTAACAAGTTACACCATTATAATCGTCTCATTAATACCTTCAAAACGAGTCCAATATTGAATAATTTTTTACTTAATTATATTATTATATATTATATATACTGTAAAAAAATATTTTTAATATTTACGATTTATACTTTTATACTTATTTATTTATATATATACTATATATTTTGGGGTTATGTTGTCCAAATTGCATTATATAATATATTTTGAATTAATATGTTCTTGGGTTTTTTTTGAAATATATATATACATGTATTAATTTAACATTAATCTGAGTTTCTGGACAAGAAATAGGGTAAGCAATTAAAATTTCATTCTAAAACCTTTTTTTTTTCTTTTCATGGCTTATGATCTGTCAAATTTGTAGTTTTCTTTATTGGTTTTAAGTGTTTATCTTAAAACTCAAGTTTCTTGGTTCTTTGCTCTTRGTGTAAATCGAATACATTTGTGAAGTCGTTTAAATATGTTGGATTTTAAATATATTGGATTTYAAAYTGYCATACAATWTTTTYCATCGATAGTCTGTAATTGGAACCATAACTCTTATTTATTCAAATTGTATTAATATGTAAAGATCAAGTGTAACCTATATCATCGTTAAATCTTATCTTATAAAACCAGTGAAACTTCAAAATCGTTAAAATTTATGGCTCCCGCCGCATTGCGCGGGTACAAAACTAGTATTAGTTTAACCCAAAGAAACTACATATAACCGACTAGAAATATCTTATGGGGTGTTTGGGATTGCTTATCTGAAACAACTTATGTTTTTCTACAAAGTGTTTATGAACTTATTATAAGTTAGAATGTTTTAACTTCTTCAAAAACTATTTATTATCGGTTTGACACCCGTATAAGTTGTTTACTCAAACACTCAAAAGTGCTTATTACCGATATCACACCGAAATAAGTCAATTAGTTGTTTTTATAAGCAATCCCAAACACCCCTTTAAAGTAAAATTAATTGTATCCCCCTAAAAATAGATAAAAAAAAGGGAGATCGATGACTGAGACCAATAGTATGATAGGCGATATGAAGAACGGACAACAATAGGACGACATGAAGTGGCAAGGGGGAGTGATAACGTTGTTTGAGAGGGGTTTGAATAGTGTAAGATTTAGAAACAGTTAAACTGATTTAAGTTTTTTTTTTTTTTTTGATAAAAGAATGTTCAGGGAGTTAATCATTCAAAATGAAAAAGTTTAATAGTTTTTTCATAAAAAAAAATCAGTTCAAATACTTAATCATTCAAAATGAGAAAATTTAATGATGTTGTAGTTCTAAAAATTAATCATTCAAAATGAGATAGTTCAGTTGGGGTATAAAAAAACTATGAAAAATCTCTGACATTATTCATGAAAAACCCAACCACCCCGATCAATCCAACATAACTCAACATCGAAGCACTTTGATATATAATCGAGCTGTAAAATAATCAAACCGTAGGTATTGTGTTGATATCAAGTTACTTTTATTTGAATACAACTCAATCTGATGACCTCGATATCGTTATGCTTTTTAGACTTACTACAATTGTTGAGTCTCTACTAATACGCACATTACACAATTAAACCATCATGTACCCTATTTATATACATACAATTACAATCTATTTTCCATCCCTCTATAACTCCCTTGTATATATATGTGTAGTAATTGTGAATATATATATATATATATATATTGAGAAAATTAATTAAATGTGATATACTTAAGTTTTTAAGAAATATGAATAAGCTGTACGAAATGGCTGATGATGAAAAAACAAATTACGAGTAGACTAAGGAAAACAACATATTCAAAATTAGAAGAATTTTTTGATGTATCAAAGCATCATCCCGACTAACCCATACTGTTTGGGTTGTGTTGATTTTGAGATTTTTCGAACTGCAAAAATTGAATTTGGTTCTTCAAATGACTTTAATCCGATCAAACCAATTCATAAACATGGACTGACCTAGAGTGGAGCATACAGTGGCACGTGCCACAATATTATTCTTCCGTCGAAGGGTAACAAAATTTAGGTTTGTGAATGGTGCAGCCGTATTAATTTGTTATGTGCCATCATATGTATTTTGAAACTATAACGAAAACAAATTTTATTTGATAGGGTTGGTTTGCAAAACTTTTATTCCATCAAAACCCAAGTTCGAATTTTGTCAGTGTCATTTTTTAGTCAAATGGTGCCACCTAATTTTTTTTTCGTATATTTATTTCTTATAATCAAACAGTTTTATCATTTGATGGTTTTTTTATAGCCAAATAATATCATCGTCTGAAAAAAATTCTGGATCTGTTCCTGCCATAAACACCTCCACGTGGCCATGTAAATCTATCTTTTTCTGATTAATACGAAAATATAATACAAAAAGAATTTTTACAAGTGTCTCCGACTGGAGTGACACATAGCTACCCTTCACTCATTGGTCAGGTGCAACGTAGCACCCGGCGCATGTTAGAGACCTGAGCATGATTAATTTTCGGATATATGTCTTCTATTAAATATCTTTCCCGCTATTTTTTTAATAATAAATTTTGGATCATGATCCAAATGGATAAGCAATACCTCGTCAACATCTTTGACTCCCCATCTTCACCTTCCACGTGTCTTGAACCACACCTCCAAAAAACATCAACGGTTGACAGCAATAACTGTAAACAACACCCGCAGTACCATAACTTACCCATTTGTCTGCGCCAATAATACAAAATGAACTTTTGTGAGTCTCCATGATCATTCATCGATCGTAGTTCGCCGGTGACAGAGAATTATAGAGAGAGAAAGAGAGTTGTAGAGAGAGAGAGATAGATCAGAAAATGGTTATGGAAGAAGAGAGTCGGACTCCGAGGAGTCCAGAGGCGAAGCTCGGGAAGGAGGTGGAGGACCTGTGGGATGTGCAGGAGTCACAGCTTAGCCCTACGGAGAAGCTCAACGCTTGTTTCGAGAGTATACCTGTTTCCGAATTCCCTCATGCTCCGCCTTCACAAGGTATTTCTTCTTGATTAGTAGTATATATCGATTGATTCAGACCTATTGGGAGTTTGGGATGATCTCCATCGTTTTTTAGGATGGATCAACCGATCAAGAGCATATGGTTACGACGATGAGTGTGTGATCGGTGTCAGTATTGCGGATTTTGATGTATAATTCTCTTGCAGATATAACTGGTTGACGTAATTTCTGTAGTTTACTTGATCGGTTTCATAATTATGAAATTTAATTAGGGAGTGTAGTTGTGTGCTTCTGATTGTTCTTGATATTGAAAAATTGGCTTTATAGTGACTACGGATTATTATACCAGATGTTAATTGATCGACACTTGTTTAGCTGTTTCCATACTTCTTATTGTCTGTTACATGATCGGTCTCATAATTACGTAATTAAATTAGTCTGTGTATTTGTGTGCTTCCGATCGTTCGTGATATTACAAATTGGTTTTCATAATGACGACGGATTACTTCCTTGTCAAAAGAAATGGTTTAACTGTGGTTACTGCGTTTGAAATTTGTTGGATACCGTTTTTCGGGGCTGATTTTTCTTGTAACCTTTGTTTTTTAAAGTATATATAATATTAAGCGACCCTGCCTCTCTCTCATGGTGAGACTTGGACCCTTTTTGACCTCAAGGAGGCGGCTCTCTACTGGTATCCCGAATACCCTTAGGCCAATGACCTTTTAAGTTTATGCTGAGGAAATCGAAATGCCATATTTAATTGATGAAGCTCGGTTGATACTTTAGGGATGATTACAACAATACAACTGCATGTATGTAGCTTATGAGTAGAGAATTTGCACAGGGTCGTTGGACTTACTATGGTTTATGGCATAATCTAGTATCGGTAGATGCCATATAAGCATCATATGGATCTCTGAGTCTGAGCACGTATGTGTAATGTGTTACCTATGAGTAAGATGTTCACATAATATTTTCAAGCATCAATAGATTAAGCATGGTATAGTTTCTTTCCTGCTGTTCTATTATTTGCCTCATTCAATGATTGTACTAAGCTTCTCAATTTTTTTTTTCAGTAATTGAAATAAAATCGGATGCAAGTCTGAGTGAAGCTGTCCGGTTGCTGTCTCAAAATAAAATTCTCAGTGCACCTGTTGTGAATGTTGATGCACCAGAGGATGCTAGTTGGATCGACAGATATCTTGGGATGGTAGAGTTTGCAGGCATTGTCGTGTGGACTCTGCATCAGGTTCACACATTTCTTTTCTTGAATTATAGATATCTGGAAATACGTATTCTTAGTTAGAATTAATAAGTTACTGCTATGTTATTGATTCGGCATGTTAAGGCAAATTAACACTACACTGTGATCTAGAGTTGAAAGCAATTGCATTACAAGAATTACAAGAGAAGGGGGCTCAGAAGGTTGGCTTCTTTTGGCCGATCCTTTAAACTCATTTGTTGGCTTATTATGGCCTACCCTCCGAAAAGAGGAGGAACCGGCAGGGCGGGGAGGGGGGGGGGGGTGTTGCTGTAGTATTCCCAAAAATGTTCTTCCTTTTAAAGGGTAAACACTGACCAAGTGAAATCCATATCTATATGTACATTNGGGGGGGGGGGGGGGGGTGTTGCTGTAGTATTCCCAAAAATGTTCTTCCTTTTAAAGGGTAAACACTGACCAAGTGAAATCCATATCTATATGTACATTTACAGTCTGAAAAGAACGACACGTTAGATGAACCCAACTTATTTTCAAGCGCATTAGAGGATTCTATGGGACCTGCTGTTGTTGCAGCAGCCACTGGGATGTCTTCTCCGAGGTATAGAAGCTCACAGCCTGGATCTCCAAAGACTGCTGGGAACTTTTTTGAGTTGTTAACGTCCTCCGATCTCTATAAAAATACAAAGGTTTTGCTTCTAACTTTATTGGCATCCTTTTATTTTCTTTCAAAATTTAGTTGCTGTTCTGCCTGTTCATATTTCATTATTTGTTTCTTCAAAATGTTGTGCAAAATGCAGGTTAAAGACATCTCTGGCTCATTTCGCTGGGCTCCATTTCTGGCATTGCAGACATCAAACTCCTTTCTGACCATGCTTTTACTGCTCTCAAAGTACAGAATGAAGAGTGTCCCTGTGGTTGATCCAGGGGAACAAAAGATAGACAACATCATTACTCAATCTGCTGTGATCCACATGTTGGAGGAATGTGCGGATCTCCAGTGGTTCAAAAGCTGGGGATCTAAGCAATTATGTGAGCTTGGTCTTCCCCTGATGAACGCCAATCAAGTTATTAAGGTACATGGCTCTATACAGAGGTGAACGCCAATCGACCTTACTCCTTGCTGCTTTGCTTCATTTTTTTCTCTCCACATAAGTGTTAGAAACCGAAATTTAAAAGGGTAAAAACAGGAGTCGAACCTGCAATCCTTCAAAGGGCAAGTCTTGTTGCGGGGATTTAGACCATCTCAATTTTTTTTTTATAAGTTCTGTTTTAAAACATTTCAGGGCGTCATTCAAAATTAAGCGGGTGCACTGGCCCTGATTTTTTTTCCATTCCAACAAGACGACTGAGTGGTAGCCAGTGTTCCCCCTGCCGGTGCCTGGCTCATACCTTTCGCCTCTGTATATATTAAACATCTCCTCTCTTTATAAGGACTTTTTAAAAGAAATTTGAAAAGGGTTTCACATATCCTAACATGGTATCAAAGCCGAATCTACCACATCTAGGGATTCGACGTCGTCTAGCTTTCGTTTGAGGGAACATGTTGGAGTCCTACATCGTAGGAAGCTCTTTTTAGAGAGAGATTCAAAAGGATTCCGAGTATCTTATTTTAACTCGTGTTTTGCAGGTAAATGAGGATGAACCGGTGCTGCAGGCATTTAGACTTATGAGGCAGAAGGGAATTGGTGGATTACCGGTGGTTAGTGATGGAAACAAGCCAGTGGCTAATATAAGCATCCGAGACATTCAGTTCCTCTTAATCGCCCCCGAGATTTATAAAGATTACAGGTTAGTGAAGTAACTTCTTTACCATTTCCTCTACATAAAATTCAACAATTTCATCTCTATCCATACAGAAAGTAAACAGTTTCTGACACCATATCTCATCATCATTGTTAAGAATTTAGGATATGAAGAACTGTTTGAATCTCTCTATAGAATCCGTTGAATCTCTCTTTATAAAAGTCTTCTACCAAAGGACAGTTCCTATATATGTATATACAGGGGACCTTTTCTTTGGGAACCCATTAAATTGTGATAACTTTGAGAACTTATGCATCATGTGTTATTTCATGTGATCTTTTTCCATCTAAGACTAGAATTTGGAATATTAAATACTATGCCTAGATAGAAAAAAAATCATTCAAAATAACACATGACGCACAGATTCTCAAGGTTATCACAATTTCATGGGTTCTCAAATGATTAATCTCCTATATATACATACACACACGGTAGATAGATCAGTCTAGTGGAGGTGAGACTCCAGCAGGCCCCTCAAATAGAGGCTTTTCAGTGCCCTCAAAAACGGAAGCTAAAGATTTTGAGGGTGCTATATATTTCACATGGTATCCCTCTTGACACTCTAGTACAATCTGCGTCCATCTGGCCTTCATTGGAGGAGGCGTGTTGCACTCCAACATCGACTAGACTTGGACAATTTCTCCTGTATATTGGAACCTTCCCTTCCTCCTCAAGGGCTCTTTTGCAGAGTGATCTGAGAGTTCCGCATATTATGTCGAGCCCTTAGGGGTGTGTTTGGTAAGTGGGACATGATAGTACAAAATTTGTTGTGGGTGGCACATTTGGTGTGATATTAGACTGAGATAGGACAAAAACCGAGTAGGTGCAGCAACCATCTTTTGGTAACAATGAGGATGAGACAAGATTGTTAAATTGTTAAACTTTTCATGTCAAATTAAAACCCTAAAACCTTTCACAATTCTTTCCCTGACCTCTCGCTCGTCAAGTACAGTCTTGTCCATGTACCAAATGCACCCTAGGCGGTGCTAGACCCTTGATACCATGTTAGGATAACTGTAATTCCTTCAAATCCCTTTCTAAGAAAACCCCTTGAAGAGAGAGGAATTTATCGATCATAAAGGTTCAGATGAACTGTGTCTAATTGATGTGAGACTCCAATGCTTATTACGATTTGGATTCAACTGCAGATCCATCACAGCCAAGAACTTCGTAACATCGGTTAAAAGGTATCTAGAGGAGAACCAGAAATCGTCGCCTTTGGTAAGTGGCATGATTACTTGTAGAAAAAACGAGACGCTAGAAGAGGTGATATCAAAGCTCGACTCGAAAGAGATTCATCGTATATATGTGGTGGACGAAGAAGGGAATCTCGAAGGAGTGATAACGCTAAGAGATATAATCTCAAGGATCGTTCACGAGCCTCGTGGCTACTTTGGTGACTTTTTTGATGGTGTCTTGCCGTTACCCGCAAATAGTCGGGTTTAACCACTTGCTTGCTTAACTACTTGTAAAATTTTCCCATTTCCAGCTTTTGCTTAATTTGTCTAACATGAGACTGCTAGTGCTAAAGTTTGTGTTGTGTATCCGAATAAATCAGTTAAGACTAAATAGATCTGTTGGGCTTGATCCATATCATGCATCAAAGTTTTTGTTTTGACAGATTGGTTTACGGGCAGTTTACCAATACAAATCGGGTAAGTGTTAACCAAGTAAAACTGCAGCCTGAATAAGCGGCTCGCGTTTGTCTGAAAATTATTGTTTAGCAAGTGTATGTGTAAGTGCTGACCAAAGTTACTTCCTTGTTGAGTTAACATCTTGGTCATAGGTTAGTTTTAATATACCGACCAAGATTATAATGGATGTAGGGCTTATTCAGTAAGCCTTTACCCAGTTTTTTTACCTTATCGGTCATCCGATGAACATGATAAGGATCTGGAATCTAAGAGCAATAATAAGGATTATGAGTCCGACAAGTTTTAATAAATTGAAATCTTACCCTTCAAGTTAAATGAAGTTGTTGACTCTTACCGGTAAGCGTTGACGGCCCCATAGTTTTGAATTGGACTTGAAAACAGTGGAGTAACCAAGTTTTGGACTTTGGGTGTATGCAAGTTTCTCTTGTATTCTCTAACACAAACTCTTCTTAAACTCAAGTTATTTGTTTTTCACTATCATCATTTGAATTCTAAGTTTAGACGTTGAAAATTGGGATGAACAAACTTTACCCCCTGTTCGAATCAAAGTTACCAAACCAGAAATTTCAACAATGTGTGCGCGAATCGTGTAAAGTGCAGCCAAATAAAAAACGTGCGATATATTGAAACATGCGTAGCAGTTTTTTTTTTTTTTTTTTTATTAACCTGGATATCCAACCCGCTATGCGAGCCGACTAACCCCATGACGACCACCATGACTAATCCCATGACGACTAATCCGTGACCGCAAGAGAATTTTTATTCCTTCTTGGATTTGAACCTGAGACCTCCTGGTATTTTGATATTTGGAGTCAAGTTCAAACCAATCAGGCACTACCTTTCTATTCTAATTGAGTAGCAGTCTATTGTTATTGCCATCAAATGAATTGTCAGTAAATATTTCTAACCCGGGTTAAAAGCAATTTTCCTTATTAGTCATTATCATGTCCATCTATATAATAATCTAAGGTTATTTATTATTGAACATGACAGTTTATTTTTAAATTTAAAAACTATTTTAAATTTTGATTTAATATAAAATTCAAGATTTAACATATAAAATATGCATT